CTGAACATTTACATCGTTTTTAAAACAAAAATTGATAGAATAAATTTCGATAAATGACCCATTATGGATTACTTGTAATTGCATGCATGAGTCAAAATATAAATAGTCATAAATAATTATTGACCAACTTCATCATTGTTATATTTTTGCATTATATCAGATATTACGAATATAGCAATCAGGTTCTGCAAATTGGAAGAGAGAGTTATCAATAATAATCTTCTGACTGAATCATAAAATGCCAATTTGTTTTCCCTTTACACCCTAAAATTTTTTTAATAAAACTTTCAATACATATTACATCGGTTTTTTTTTAATGTAAATTTGACTTTTATCAAATAAAATTTGGTGTGGTGCGAGCAAATTTTCATTTCGAAAATGAGGCCAAGAGGAAAAAAATTGTTGGGGGTGGGGTGACTATTTTTAAATACAGTTTCACGCATTAGAATACGTTCAAAAGACAGATTTTGTTTGCTCCATCAGGTAAAGATAAAGATAGCCGCAATACTTAATTTATTTTTTCATCTCGTCTTTCATTTTCATTCAAATATTTGCATGTATATTTGCGTGTGTATTTTAATTTGCATTTTAAAATTTAAAATAGCTAAGTTTATTAATATTTTAATAAGCCGACCATTTTTTTACTGCATCTTTAGTAATAGATCCTATAAATGAAACCAGTTTAGAGATTGTCGTAATTGATTACAAAAAAGCTATTTTGAGATCACATATTAAATTCAAATTCACGCATGAATATATAAAAATGCTAACGTTCAACATAACTGGAGAAAAGTCAATTTTTTAACTAAAATGCAATCATTGACAGAATGAAAAAGTAATTGATTTTTTTAAAATTAAATGCCCAGATATGCCAACATTAGTGCATATATTGTCTAATGTTGATCCTGAGGACAAGGATTTTGATAAATTGACTGATAAATCATCGAGTTCAAAAAGGAGTAAAATATAACTTTCTTATATTTGACATCCACTTGAGCACTGAAGAGAATTTCAGGTGATGCCCTTATCGAAAAGAACACTTTGTCGTTCATTAATCGAACAGCACCATAGATATTTTTTGCATTATATCAACAGTACGAATATAACAATCAGTTCATGAATCATAAACTTCGTACCTTTAAAGTCATGAATCAAACAGTACCCAAGACAGTCATGAATCAAACAGTACCCTAGAAAGTCATGAATCAAACAGTACCCAAGACAGTCATGAATCGAACAGTACGCTAGACAGTCATGAATCAAACAGTACCCTAGACAGTTATGAATTGAACAGTACCTTAGACAGTAATGAATCGAAAGAGACAAATGGCCCAAGCTTGTGTTGTGTATGGAACTTAACTGAAAAACAGTTCCTTTGGTAGTAGTAAATAAAGGACGTCTTTAACGGTAACTGTTGTAACAAGTTGTTTTTGAAAATTCTCGAAACTTTTAGTAGTATCGACAGTACATGTCATCATAAAATTAATATGAATCACCGAAAAAAAAAATCGAGGGTAATTTTCTTTTTCCAGTTCGACGTATCAACGGATACCCACGATGGAATATGCCAAATAGGAGACTAGATGAGAGAGAAAAATGCAAAAACAACGAAAGCAGAACATAAAAAGTCAAATAAAAAGCAGAGAGTAAAAATAATGAAAATGATGTCGGAATGAAACAAAGCAAAATACAATTTTAAAATAACAACCAATCAAATAGGATTCCATCTTGTAACTCCGCGACATGACGTAGTTCACCTCTCTACCTCGAACCCCTGCCCTATTTCTATACAGACAATGGCCAACAAAGCGGTTAATCGCAGTAATTACACAACATTCGCGGTGAAATACTGACCGGACAGAAGACGGTATGGACAGTGGGCATTGGCTAACGTAATGAGTGCAATTAGTTACCGAACGGAATAGAGACAGACGCAATGTCACGTCGTTAAATATGACAAAGGACGGAGAGAGCCGGCCACGATTAATTTCCGGAACCTACCGATTGGGTCACCTCTATAATTGAGAAGAGGTGGTAAAGTAGTGGTTCGGTTCTGTTCGTCAAAATGGCGCTCATAAATTGGTGGGCGGGAAAGTAATGAATAAAGCAGGATTAATTGACGATAATATTTAATACGTTGTTACAATATTCATCACTGTGCAGTTTGCGAACTGTCTATGCATGCATGCATATATATATATATATATATATATATATATATATATATATATATATGGAGAAGGAGAGAAAGAAAAATTAAAGGAAAGAGAAAAACACGCAGACATATTTGATATGCGAAATTGCATATTAGATAGTGACAAATTGCCAGCAGTTTACATCCAGCTCCCCCCATATATATATATATATATATATATATATATATATATATATATATATATATTATTATTATTATTATTATTATCATAATGGTCGTGTCGAGCTTACTCAGATTTGTTTGACTTCATGACGCCATCATTTCTGGTCATTCATGGCAGTTGGTAGTCACTGGTCTTGATAAAGTTCAAAATCCATTACAAATATTTCGTTAGCGAATCCGTCTGTTTTCCAATACCCTATCGTCCATCTACCAGATAAGAGATATGATCAGACTCAAAAATACCCATAACAATAATAATTCCGAAGCATGTATATATAAAATAAACTGTCACTATCTTTCCCTACAATATATCGGGAAATCTTGCATAAATTTAGCAAAACAGGATATATATATATAGATGAGCCATGATACAGCGAAACAGAATACCGGATTTTTACGTACTTACTCTTCGAATAAACACACGGGTGACAGAGAGGGCTCAATTCATAGAAGAGCTTTGCAGTATTAGCAGTAGTTGTCATTGTTTACAAATTCGCGCTTTCTCTCAAGAGTGCTCAACCGGAATTTAACTTTATGTGTGCATATATATTGTTATCCACAGACTGTTTCGCCTTATTACAGCCCATCACTCTTGATTGCTTAAGCCGGGATCGAAACCCGACTGATTTGGCATCAGTCGGAGATTTTTCGTTGCGCCATGTAACTCAGTAATGCCTATCACTTGACTGAGTCAAATCGGTACCCAACGATGCTTTTCAGATAGGATTAAAAATAAATCCTGTAAAAGGGTGTCTAAACGGTCATCGGATATCTAGTGCAGTGGGGTAAAAAAGGCTTTATAGCTATATGTGCAGGCCGTGCTACATGCATAGTTCAGTTAACGGTCAGGCTGAAGGGGTGCCTCGATGGAGTCAGTTACCACATGTCCGTGACAAGCCTAGAAAGCGAGGCAATTAGATGTGGTCTGACCTGGAGCAGGACGAGTTCTCCTTGCTCAAGAAAATAAAAGAAGAAATAAATCTCAAGCTTTCAACCCAGATATGTGAAGGGAATTAGTTAGGGGCTTAGCTGCGCTGTAACCTTACAACCACACCTAGACATGGAACAGATGATGATTATATTTCGTCCTTGCATTAAATACTGCTGCCATATATGGCCTGGTGCTCCCACTGTTCCTCTCGAGGTCCTATCAAATTCTAGAGAAAGATATGTAACGCGATAGGCCCTGATCTGGCACCGTGTCTACAGTCACTATCTCACAAACGTGATGTGGATTCCCTTTGTCTTTTCTACAAATATTTTCATGGCAAGTGCTCCGACGAGCCACTTTCACTGGTTCTTAAACTGCATGAATTTAAGCGTGCTACTCGGTTGGTATCTCGGTCCCACCCTTTTACTGTCGAAACGGTTAAATGTAGCCATCTTTTCTACTCAAACAGCTTCTTATCTCTGATCTCCTGTCAGTGAAGCTCGCTTTCTATCAATTGATTCCCTGATAGCTATAATCTTAAAATATTCAAATGTAATGTCAATCGACATCTTCTGATGCCTTTACCTTGATCACTGTCCTTCTCTTTATCCTTTTCCCAAACACTCGCCTTTACTCTTACTCTCACATTCTGTAACCCCTTGCCTGCTAGTGGCTCTCCCGCCTTGCTTGCAGTGATTTGCTTTAAAAAAATATAATTATTATTGTTAATCTCATAATGTATTTACAGTATAAATGAGGGTTTATATCACGCATGTGGAGGCGCTAAAAATCTTAACGACATTAGATACGCTGATGACACAATGCTGGTAAAGGACACAAAAAGATAAATAGAGGAAGTACAGAAGGGAAACATGACGAAAGAACTAAGCATCAATTGGAAGAAGACAGAATATACGGTGTTTACTCATTCCCCCACGAGAATGAGATGTGATACAAGGTCTTTTTAATGTGGGGACCCGAGCGCGTACACCCGGGCAGGGACAAAAATTCCCCACAGCCCCCGCAACCGTCGGTTGCGCTGGCCTCGTTGCGAGCACCGATCCCTCCCTCTTGTGCAATAGGAGTGCGCGACCTCGGGCAGCTGTTCCCCAGGGCGGGACACCTCTTCAGTATAATTTTCTCAGTTGCCCCTCTGTCCTTTGACAAAGAAGCCCCTGAGCGCACTCTGTCCAAGGACAGAGACGCAACTGAGAGATGATAAGTAGTGTGTACAAATTACTTATAGTAATCTATACGGTAGAATATGGGATTGTCAGCAAAAGGAACACCCTAACAATCAAATTACAAATTGGAGATACTAAAATAAAGCGAGTAAAAACAATTTAAATATCTTGGGCGCGTTACAAGAAAGGACGGAAAGTGGGTACATCGAAGGCTTATTGGGATCGCGAAAAATGCCTTCGCAAAGTATTCAGAAACTAAGAAAAGAGTCCAGAACTTTTACTGAATACTGGGCAATCTCCCGACAGAGGGAGTTGAAGCAAAAGAAATATGGTTCTATAGAGGGAAGCTTAGAATTTGAGCAACGACGAAGTTTAAGAGAAAATAGATAAATAGACACTCATACTTATCAGAAAGAGATAGTTGAAATTTCTAAGGCCTATAATGAATGAAGAGGGCTTGGAAAATCTGATACTCACAGGGAAGACTGGAAGCAAGAAAGACAGAGGA